GGCTTGCGACCACTTATGTGCTAATGATACTACTTATATACTAATGATACCATCACTTAGATAACTAATAAACTTATTGAACTTCATTATGTCTAAAACAAAATTCTTCCCAAACCTACTCCTAAATACACTAAATGTAAATGGCATCAATATTCACCTAGCTGTTCATGCAAAACAACCAAAGCTATCCTTTATTTCTCCTCTTCCTTCCTTTAATCTATCAATACATTTTGTTGGTTCTATGTCTATCATTTATCCATTTTTTTTCCCATCTCCACTGCCAGGCCACTGTCCTCTGCAATAGTCTTCTGATTTTCCTGCTTTTGTTCTTGTCTCCTTAGAATCCATTTACCCCTCAGTAGCCAGTGACTTAAATCATGCCATTCCCCTGCTGAAAATCCTCCTTAGAACAGAAACCAAACTCCCTACCAGGACCTACAAAGGTCTTTCATCATGATCTGAACACTGCCTACCTCTCCACCCTCATGTCATATCACTCTGCTTTTCAAACTATCTCCAGGCCACTGTGCTTCCCCAAATACATCAACCTGGTTGGGAGCTTTACATTTGCCACTGCCCATTGCTCTCAGTTGGGAGCTTTACATTTGCCACTCCCTCTGCCCAGAATCCCTGTCTCCCCCACCTCACCTAATCTATTTAGCAGCCTGACTCCTTTGCATTCAAATATCACCTCCCTTGTGAGGCTTTCTCCAAGGTAGCCACAATCACTTTTCTTATTTTTTTTTGTATACCACTTACCGTAATCTAAAAATCATCTGGGGTGCCTGGGTGGCTCAGTTGGTTAAGCATCTGACTTTGGCTCAGGTTATGATCTCACGGTTGTGAGTCTGACCCCATGTCAGGCTCTGTGCTGACAGCTCAGAGCCTGGAGCCTGCTTCAGATTCTGTGTCTCTCTCTTTCTCTCTACACCTACCCGGCTCATACTCTGTCTCTCTCAAAAATAAACATTAAACAAAATTTTTAATAAAAAAAATAAAAATAATCTTATTTGCTTATTATACTCCCCACCCCCCCATATAAACTCTCTAAGGGCAGACTTACCTGTCTTGTTTATTATTCTCTCCAATGCTTAGAACATAAGTTAGTAGATATTAAAAATGTTTGCTAAATGAACAATTTCATAAACATCATTGAAGCTGTACACATATTAACTATACTGATTTTGATTACTATTAGCTTATTACAGTTTACATTAGTTAATTATAAATTATTAGTTTATTAAAAATAAGTGGAATTCTAACTTTTCCACCAACAAAAAGATATTGAGATTACATGAGCCTGCAGGAAGAATACAACACTAGCGTGCCAAATCTTCATTTAAGACAAGAACAAAGAAAAACACCCACAAGCTGCCATTGCCGCCTGTGGGGCACCCAGGACCTTCTGAATCCCTCAGCAGAGGTCCAAATGGAAATAGATCTGGAAGAGATGCATGTAGAAGACACCATCAGATTCTGTCCAAAGGAAGAAAGAGAGAGTGAACAAACATGTTTCAGGATTAAACCCCCAGACAAGAACAGAAAGGGGATTTTCACAGCTTCTTCTACGAGCTCTCTGAAAAGAAGTCCAGTGGATCGGAATACAGGGAAAAAACTAAGGAGAATCCCTCAAAGGATCCTTTACCTACCAAACAAGATTTCTTCAGAAACTGACTTGCTCTCACAAATGACCTTGACAAAGGAACAGTTGTGTAAGACATACTTAAAGTTGCACTGTCAAGTGGTAAGATGAGGATAAAAACATTGAACGTATCCCTATATACTGATGTATAAATCCCTGAAGAAAACAAATACAAATACTTACAGATATAATACTAAATCAACATACAAAACATTGAAGAGATAAAGACTAGTCTATGGTTGAGAGCTGGCTTTTTGAACCTCAACTCTGGGAGAAGGGAAACAAAGATGTTTCACAGCGTTACAGAAGAACACAATGCATTTGGAGGAAAATAAACATTTGTAAGAAAAACAATAGGGGTGCCTGGGTGGCTCAGTCAGTTAAGTGTCTGACTCTTGATTTCAGCTCAGGTCATGATCTCATGGTTCCTGATGAAGCCCTTGTTGGGCTCTGCACAGACAGCATGGAGCCTGCTTGCAATTCTTTCTCTCCTCTCTCTCTGCCCCTCCCTTGCTTGCAATCTCTCTTTCTCCCTCTCTATAAATATAAATAAATAAACATTAAAAAAATCACATGTAGTAATCTTTGTGACTTGATTGTGGGGGTGGGGGTGGGATTCATTGCAGAAAAGTTACATTAAAAAATAAAAAGAATAAAAATCACTAGAAAAAAAGATCACTGAATCATATGCAAAAAGGAAAAGTTGAATCAGTGTTTATACCAACAAACTCAATCTGGCACTTTTATATGTGATCTTTAGAGGTCTCTCTTATGAAGGAGTGTAAATAGAATCATGTTTTTTATATTGTTGGCAGTACATAAGGGCCACCAATCATAACAAATGAAAAGTACTATTTTAAGCCCTTATGCATTGCTGAATACATCATAAGAACTTGTACTGCTGCCCTTTCCAGGGATAAACACAAAGACAAGCAGGAGCTAGAAAGAGGAATTTCCATTAGGAAGAAAAGAATATATTTCCCCATATATTTCTATATGATATAGCAGTTTCTCAGACATGATTTTATCTGTTCAAAACAATTAAGAACCAAGAAGCAAGCAACAAATGCCACAAAGGAACAGAAGTACAGCCAGTCCCAATGCAAGAAAACACACATTTTAAAAAATATATATCGCCTCAAGGTCCTCACTCAGAGTCTTCTCATTTTTATTTTAGACTGAATGTTAACACATTTGGCTACCTAGTTTCTCAGGGCACAGCAAATCAGAGGTGGCAAACTAGAAAAGAGATAAGACAGAAAACTATTTATTATTCTGAGAGCAAATGACCTAACAAAAGAACAGAGATTAAAACACCACTGGAAAAAGGAGTTAAAAGATCTTAGAATCAAAAACCAAAAATCAAATTTAGAAAGCATAGCTGGGGAAGTTTTATTTAAGACAGTAAGTAACAACCTTACAGAATTCCTGCCTCGAAGACAACAGGTCTTATTTTAATATAGTGCCACACTGGGGCACTATAGAGCCCCTGGTGGCTCTTATATAGAGCCACCTGGGTGGCTCAGTTGGTTAAGCATTCAACTCTTGATTTTGGCTCAGGTCATGATCTCAGGGTTAGTGAGATCGAGCCCCACACTGGGCTCTGTGCTTACAGTGCAGAGCCTGCTTGGGATTCTCTCTCTCCCTCTCTCTCTGCCCTTCCCTGCCTTGTGTTCTCTCTC